TACGGAAACGTCGCGTGCATATTCGTCTGAAATTTATAGAAGAAAAATGTATGTACAGCGTTATCCTTGCTTCCTCTTTCGTTTGCATACGGCGAAATTATGTGGGGCGATACACATAAATACATAATAGGTACATTATACGTGGCGAGAATGAAGAAGGAAAATCTCGACTTCTGAAAATTCAGCAATATTTTGTGATAGAATATTTTTCATAGTTTTTAGTGTAATATTAGAAGTGATAGATTGACTCTTATTACAAATGACGTCCTATTCTGAAATCTTCACTTCCGAAGATTCAGCAATATTTTGTAACGGAATATTTTTCATATATTTTTAGTGTAATATTGACTCTTATTACAAAGGACGTCGTATTCTGAAATTTTCACTTCCGAAAACTCAGCAATATTTTGTAACGGAATATTTTTCATATTTTTTTAGTGGAATATTGACTCTTATTACAAATGACGTCGTATTCTGAAATCTTCACTTCCGAAAATTCAGCAATATTTTGTAACGGAATATGTTTCACATTTTTTTAATGGAATATTAAAAGTATTTAGTGCAATATTGACTCTTATTACAAAGGACGTCGTATTCTGAAATCTTCACTTCCGAAGATTCAGCAATATTTTGTAACGGAATATTTTTCATATTTTTTTAGTGTAATATTGACTCTTATTACAAATGACGTCGTATTCTGAAATCTTCACTTCCGAAAATTCAGCAATATTTTATAATAGAATATTTTTCATATTTTTTTAGTGTAATATTAGAAATGATAGGTTGAGTCTTATTATAAATGACGTGATATTGTGAATAATATTAGTGGTAGAAGTAGGTAAATTTGAGTTCATTAATATGTGAAATGTGAGGTTGGTAGAAATAAATATTGAACGTTTCCACTGGAGTTCGTCACGATTGCGAGACCTCTTTACTACGAAAGGATCAGTCAATGGAAACGTTTACGTATTTCGATTAATCACGGTATATAATCACTTTCCTAGTAAATCTCAGCACGTTGCAGTGAGTTAAGGTGAAGCGTTTATAGACACTTGCAGAATATTCTTATGCGAAGTGTCGACTTATTTTAAGGTCGTAATACATCAGAAATCTAATAGCTTATTTATTCTATCTTTATCTTCTAATTTGTCACTTGAAATATTAAGCGATGAGTCAACTCCTCGTCGCGAAATACTTCGCCAGCGCGCAAGACGAGTTAACTCGTCGTGGAACTTCGAAAATGACACGCGCAATTTTAAACCTGACACGTCATTTATTTTTTAAACATACAAAAACAAAACGTAATTCATTTGATGCGGCGCGCAAAGAATGCGCTCCAAATTTAGTTTAAATTAAAAGATTAACCTTCCTTGCTAGTTGTCGTTAAGGTTCCTGTTTGGTACCGTGATCTTATTTCTCGGTTGGAAGATATCACGATGGATGTTACCCCTATTGGTTGTTTAGTTTTAGGTTAAACTACGTTGTTCGGTTTTTTTTTTAATATGTACACTCCGTACACGCCCTGATTCTCTCCGTACATATTCTAGTTCTCTCCGTACATATTCTGGTCTCGGGCTTGCGAAAGCTACCTTTATACATGTTTTTGTAGCTGCTAATTCAGAAAAAGGGCCAATCAACGCCCTTCCCAGAAAAAGGCCTCTTTCGCGAACCCTTATTGGCAGGTAGATAGAAGCGATGCAAGTCAACGGTGGGCGTGATCGGTCGCGTGGTTCGTGTTGAGAACACGACAGTTCCCATTGCTTCAACTGCTAATACAACTTCTAACCCGATTCAACGTGGATTCAGTGACTTAATGTGGGCCTTTTTGAAACTTCTTCCCACTCCAATTCTTGGTGTCGGCTAAATAATACTACTTGCTAAACCCAATACTATAATATTGTCTGGTAAATGGACTACGACATGTAGGGACGAATCAAAAGAGAAGACAGAGGAGGATGCAGTAAAGAACACACCCCTCTCGCTACCACCCCTATTATTAGCTCAGTCTTCTAACTCGCAACATTAGCATAAAAAAAAATTCTAATCGTCCCCTGCGTTTAAGGTACGAGTCTCTTAGGTAGCCTTACCGACGAGTTCACTAGGAGGATCCAGGACGAATCGTAATTTCCTTCCCCTTTCCTTTTCTCTCTATCCTCTCTCTATTTATTTTCTTTTCATGACCAACCGCCGTACACCTTATCACAGTATTTTTATTAAAATGTAACTATCATCTGTCCAGCTTTCTCACTCACAATATTAGATAAAAAAAAAAATAGTAATACCCTTTCTGTTTATTTCCTTCTTTCGTAACCATAATCGCGATACACCATTTTTATTAAAGTACTACTACCATTTGTCCAGCCTTCTCACTCACAGCATTAGTATAAAAAAAAAAAATTCTAATCATCCTCCACGTTTAAGACACGAGTCTCTTAGGTAGCCTTACCGATAACTTCCACCTTTCTTTCCTTTTCCTTTCTCTCCTATCCTCTCTCTATTTATTTCTTCTTTCCATAACCAATCGCCATATACCTTATCACACTATTTTTATTAAAGCATAACTATTATCTGTCCAGCCTTCTCACTCACAACATTAGTTTAAGACACGGATCTCACGGTACATTACGCAGAAGATCCAGGACGAAACTCGTCCCTTATTTCCCTTTCCTTTTCCCCCTGTCGTCTCTCTATTTATGACGAGTGATCTCAAGTGACACATACTCTATCACAGTATATCTATCAAAACATAAGAACACAAAAATTGAAAAAAAAAAGAAAAAAGAAAACTGAAAGTACGACTTCGAGAGGAGACCCAGTTCTCACATGAACGCCACCAGGTCTCGATGACTCGACGATTAGCTTTAATCGTTGATATAATCGCGGTGAGGTATGTAATTGCAATGATGTCAAGTCGGGAATAGATAGACGGAACTGGAAGCTACTAGAAACTCTCTCGATCGTTTATAAAACTCCGCTAGGTTCAACGTTTATGGCAACCGGTGTGTACGCATGGTATCGCAAAGTTCCCGTGTAATTTCCGTAGAAGAAGCGCAAGAAGCTCTTCGAAACGGTACGCCGGTAATTAACCATAAATTCGCCCGGTGACATTCGGTTAATTTAACCGAAGTATAAATAAAGTTTCAACTGGTTCGATTATTCGCCGTGGCGAACATGGGAATAGGAAGTGGGAGGGAGAGAGAAGAGAGTTAACCGTCGGATATTAAAACCAATTAAAACCTCGGTAAATCGAGTATCGCTGGACGATTACATAAATCATCCCGGTGGCAGTGTGCACTTTCAAGGAATATCATTCACCTGGTAAACGGGGGAAAAATGAATTTTATAATTCGCAACCGGAGACGGGACCCTTTTGAAAAAATTCTACCATTAAGGAAAGAGGGAAGCGTGGCATCGTTGATGTCGGCAAAGAAGGGGACTATAAACGATACCAACCGGTGGTAAACCTCGCGTTCATAAATATTCGATCATTAACACAGGTCACATTTATTATTGTCGCGGGGTATACAACACGGTTATATCATTACCGTGTAAATTATAATCAGCGTTATAATAGGATGCGTATTGTAGATTAAAAATTCACAAGCCTCGATGAATATTGATGTTTACGATCCGGGTGGATCACTTTTGTATACGATTTTTTAAATACAGCCGGTGCCGGTGTCGGTATTCGTTGTGTTCACGCTTCAAGAACGAACTCGAGTAAGTTCCTCGTTAAAGTAAACGTAATTGGCCGTAAAATTTGTGGATCGACGTCGGTGTACGATTCTTACGTAAGAAATGCGGTATGCACGTGTCGTGGTTAGTACGTTACAGTTGAAGAGAGATACGGTGAGAGAGGGAGAGAGAGAGAGAGAGAGAACGAAGACGGTCTTCTAAGAATTGAAACACAAGGTGGACATACGTTCGGAATCTTAATCACATTCAACGAGAAAAACTGGAGATTTTATCCATGACTGAGCGGAGAGTCGGTCGTGTCACAAATACGGTTGTATTACGAGCCCTTACCATTATTGTCATATATCTCTCCTGTGCGATCCACGAGGTCCACGGATCGAGAAGAAATCTCCGCGCACGTTTCTCCGATTTCCTTGCCAGATTGTTCGCCTCTATTGTAATCGTTTTCTCCATTACGACTATTCCAGATTGCCGCGATACGTTCGTTTCTCTAACCGGGAGAGCGGAATGGCGAAAATATCAGGCTCCGGTGTATGAACTGTTCGACCTACACGCGGTACGGAGTTAAAAGGTTTTCGAGAGAGATCGATAAAAATGGTGGAACGAAAGTAACGCGATGTATCGAACGTGAGATGGTGATTTTGTTATTTTTGTGTTAAACGCGACTTTCTTCTTGTAGTTTTCTTTCTTTCTCTTTCTTTTATGATTGTTACTTTGCTTTAGAGTCTCGACGTTGCGATATTTTTTTGATAATAACATAGTATTAACGCGTTTTCTGTGTTCGCTTGAGATGATCTATTGTAAGAAAAAATTATGCGCCATATGAAAGTTTGAGAATATTTCTCATATTTCGTCAATATTGAATCTGCTACTAATTGTAATATTCTGGAGATCAATAGCAATCTTCCTCGTATCGACTGACTTGAACGATAAGAAATTTTTTAAAACGTTCTCAAAGTTGCTAAGATAGTATTATTGTGTTTTCTGTTGTATGCATACAATGTGAGTATACGCAAATTATGAATCACCCGCCAATTTTCATCAATATTGAGTTTGCTACTGATTGTAATGCTATGGAGGTCAATAGCAATTTAACCCTATATCGATTGATTTGAGTAATAAAAAATTGTTGAAGTTGCTAACTCTTGCAAATTTTTGTGTAACTTCCAATGCACAGTGGTTCCAAACTTTGGACGATAGTGTACATTAAAATAGCGTTTAAAATAGTATTATCGTAAATCTTCCCTTAAAATCATCTACTGTCAAAAAGAATCACGTACCAGACAAATTCGTACATAAATTTTGGTGTAGCTTAGAATGTACCTGTAGT